CCTGTGTGCAAGATTTCAAACCTCACCAAGAGAAAGTCATTTGAAGGCTACAAAAAGAATATTGAGGTACTTGAAGCATACACAAAATGTTAATTTGTGGTATCCTAAAGGAGCAAAGTTTGAGCTAGTTGGTTACTCCGACTCGGATTATGCGGGATGCAAGGTTGAAAGGAAGAACACCTCGGGCACATGTCAATTGTTGGGAAGATCACTTGTTTCATGGTCATCAAAGAAGCAAAATAGTGTTGCATTATCAACCGCCGAAGCCGAATACATATCCGCCGGTAGTTGTTGTGCACAAATACTTTGGATGAAGGCCACATTGAATGACTTTGGAATCAAGTTTAAACAAGTGCCATTGCTATGTGACAATAAGAGTGCAATCAAGTTAACCAACAATCCAGTTCAACATGCAAGAACAAAGCACATTAATGTCCGCCACCATTTCATAAGAGGTCATCAACAAAAAGGGGGCATTTGCATTGAGAGTGTAGGCACCGAAGATCAACTTGCCGATATATTCACCAAGCCATTGGATGAGAAAATGTTTTGCAAGCTAAGGAATGAGTTGAATATATTGGATTTCTCAAATATGTGTTGATGCACCCCCACTTATATGACATGCCTCTCCTTCGAGCAATCCAAGGTAAAAGTTGATTGGCATGGCATACATCCTTGCTAAGGACATGTTTAGTGCATCTAGACATATTTCACATTTAATAGGCTCATTCATGAAAATCAAATGAATTTGATGATTGTATGGTACCACTATTGCTTCTATGCTTATTTTGATCTAGTGGTAGCATATGACATGTTTGTGGGCTTATAAACCTAGTGTTTGATCTAAAAAATGAGCTCTAAGTGTTTAACTCAACATGGTACAAGATAACCCTTATTTTGGAGGTGTGAAGAAGCTTGTCCTTGGATCAAACCGAGTTAAATATCTTTGGTAAATGATCTAGATTAGACCAAATTTGGGAAAATAATCCTCACCCCATTGATTGACATTGATAATCTCAACCTATCTATATTTTGAATCTTTGTGGTCATTAATGACAAAGGGGGAGAAAAACAAAGATATTAGTGTACTAAGATGGTGAAAAGACAACAAAGGGGGAGAGATATGATAAAGGAAAGGGATCAATTAAAAATTTTGAGCACACAAGTAGGGGAGCAAGCTCATGAACTTGTATGGTGCATTTGAATGTGCATTTCATATATTTGCTTGCATGGCACAAGTTTTAAATTTCAATATCCATGCTTGTGTGGTGTATGCTAGTTGTAGGTTTGAATGATGAAATGAAAAACTAGCATGCATAGGATATCTAATAATTTTATTTCCAAGTGTTTCCAAGTGGTATCAAGCTAACCATGGTGCTAAGGATGGTATATTGGTGCACTCCGATTGGTATCATGCTTCAAAGGTCCATCTTTTATACCTTAGCATCATTTGGTAGACATTGTCTCCTATATTTCCTATCTAAGCATATGTGCAAGCTACTATCCAAACTCTTAGCACATATATAGGGGGAGCAATCGCTACCATTTGGGGTTCATGAAACTTGTCCATATCCTTTTACACATGGTAAATATGCTTGGACAAGCAACATGGATTCAATTAAATTTAATTCATGTCTTTGTGAAAGGGTTGTCATCAATTACCAAAAAGGGAGAGATTGAAAGCTCTAGTTTAGTTTTAGTGAATTGATGGAACCCTAAGTGCTAACCTAGTTTATCAAGTGATCATGATATAGGTAGCACACTCCAAGTGGTGAAGCAAATGAAGATCATGACATAATGATGGTAATGCCATGGTGATGATCAAGTGCTTGAACTTGAAAAGAAGAAAGAGAAAAACAAAAGTCTCAAGGCAAAGGTATAAATGGTAGGAGCCATTTTGTTTTGGTGATCGAGACACTTAGTGAGTGTGATCACATTTAGGATCGATAGCCGTACTATTAAGAGGGGTGAAACTCGTATCAAAATGCGGTTATCAAAGTACCACTAGATGCTCTAACTCATTGCATATGCATTTAAGATCTAGTGGAGTGCTAACACCCTTGAAAATGTTTGTGGAAATATGCTAACACACATGTGCACAAGATGATACACTTGGTGGTTGGCATATTTGAGCAAGGGTTAGGAACTTCACCGGCGGAGTGTCCGCCCGTAGAGTGCGGACAGTCCAACGGTGCCACCGGCGCCCTAGACAGAAAAGACGGAGGTCACTGTAAGTGACCGGACGCTGGCCTCGGTTGGACTGGTGCGTCCGGTCAGTAGAAGCTGTAAAGACGCTGGCGTCGGTCTCTGACCGGACACTGGGTCACTTAATGACCGGATGCTGGAAGGTTGCATCTGGTCCTGCTGTTGTGGTAGCGCACAGAAGAGTCACCGTGTGACCGGACGCTGGGTGAGTCCGGTCAAGCATGACCGGACGCGTCCGGTCGTGAAAAGTCGTCTCTGGATGCTTACTGGAAACGACCGGACGCTGGGGTTCAGCGTTCGGTCACTTTGAGCTGCTGCGTCCGGTCATCACATGACCGTTGAGATCGAGCGCTTAGTATTTGAAAAGAGGGGACACGTGGCACGCATCGCGTGACCGGAGCGTCCGGTCACCCCGCGTTGTGCCTAGTGAAGGGGTACAACGGCTCTATTTCATGGGGACTTCTATTTAAACCCCATGGCCGGCTCAAGCTCACCCCCTCAGCCATTTTGCATTGACATAGCAACCTTGTGAGCTTAGCCAAAGCCCCCCCACTCATCTCCATCATTGATTCATTATCTTTGTGAGATTGGGAGAGAATCCAAGTGCATTGCTTGAGTGTTTGCATCTAGAGGCACCTGGTGTTCGTGTTTCGCTGTGGGATTCGCTTATTACTCTTGGTGGTTGCCGCCACCTAGATAGCTTGGAGTAGCGAGGATCGTCGAGCGGAGGGTGGTGATTGTCTCCGGCTCCGATCGTGGTGATTGTGAGGAGTTCTTGACCTTTCCTCGGCGGAGAGCCAAAAGGTACTACAATAGATTGCTCGTGGTTTGTGTGATCCTCATCTTATGTTGGTTGTGCAGCACCCTATTGAGGGTTTGGCGTGTGATGCCAATTAGCACGTGAACCTCCAAGTGAGTGAATCGCCACAACGAAGAGTAGGTTGCCGGCAAGTAAGTGAACCTCGGTAAAAAATCATTGTGTCATCATTTGATTCTGGGGTGATTGGTCTTCATTGATATTGATTCTTGTGATTGATTGGCTCACTCCTCGACATGGCGGTATAACTATCTTGCTCTCTTTTTTATTATCGCAAACTAGTTATCAAGCTCTTTAGTGTAGCTAGTTATGAGAGCTTGTTAGTTTGGTTTGTGTGGCTTTTTAGTTAGTCTTTGAGAGCACACTAACTTAGTATAGTGCAATAGCTATTGTGTGGTTAGAGACAATAGAAACTAAAATTGTGGTAGGTGGCTTGCATTTTTAGTAGGCTAGCACAACACTTGCTTCGCCTCATAATTGTCTAACCGGTTTGTTAAGTGTTGTTGTAGAAATTTTTATTAGGCTATTCACCCCTCTCTAGCCATTAGGACCTTTCACCCTACATATGTTTTTTATAGCTAATGACTATGAGATGGCCGCTTTTGCATGTGATATCTGAAGAACGGTGTTTGTATGTGTAACCACTACGCACAGCCTATATTACATTACATATTGAAAAATGCAGGCAGTGATTTTGACCACTGCTTGCTGCCATTTTAAGTACTGATTTGAATCAGATGTATCTTTCTTCTCGACATGGTGACGTGCCCAATATAGTTATTTAGAATGCTTAGTTTGCTTTAAAAGATATGTATATCTTGTGTAATTTGTTTCGAATGCTTAGAATCTAATAATTTAGAATACTTAGTTTGTTTTAAAATATCTATGGTGCCACACGCAAGGGCGCGCGCCCCATCTCAGAAACTATGCCTTCTTGGTGTTCTGTCTGTTTCATGTAAAATTATGTACTATCTTGACATCTAGCGTCCCGGTGTGGACCGTCTCGTGTAAGATATAAGTACTATTTGGACACTCTCTATGTCTCATGTAATATATATATATATAGTGTTTGAACACCTTGCAGCTGTTTTAAAAATCCAGCTTTCTAATTGGCGCTCGTGCCGCCATACTCATATTGTTGGCTTCATTTTCATTCTTCATAAACATTATTCTATTTTTCAAATAGAACTGAGGCCATGACTCGCTCGCATGGGCATGCGCAACACGACAGTAAAATAATTTTTCACCGTTTGATCACAATCACGTGGCCAAAACTCGATGGAACCGGGTAAAAATATCTACTCCTCTTGACTCTCGTATCTATCTATTATACGATCCGTGTGTTTTTAGTACAAAAGTTTAGCTGTCCCGTAGCAACGCATGGGCATGCTACCTAGTAGAGCACATATATATAGGGTGTGTTAGGTTCTAAACCTAGAAAATGTGCCTGACCTAGGCCGGTTGACTTATAGCCTAGACGAGTGCCCTTATGCCACGCTCCCAACTAAACACACTCATATTCCACCAACGATTGGTTGGATTTTTGCAGATGCATGCAACAAATGATGGTATGCTGATTGTATAATACCCTAAAAATGATTTTCCTAATTATTAACTAATTCTGTTTGATTTGTTGAATTTTCCATGAATTTACTTAGGCCAAAAATATTTTTTTATGAAATTAAAATCAAATATAAGTCTTAGAAACATGTGTGTTGCATTCATGCTAGTGCATTGGTTTTATTTTATTTGTAGGGCTAGAGTTGTTTGAGTTGAATTCAAATTTCATTTGAATTTAACTTTGTTTAGGGTAAGATTGAAAAGGTTAGAATAAGAAAACCCTTTCTTTTTCTTCCTTTCAGCCCAGCAAACCAGCAGCCCAACTCGTCCCTTCTCATTTTCTTCCCCGTGCCCCAACTCGGCCCGTTCAACGGCCCGCAGGCACGTTCGCTCTCTCCCGCTGACGGATGGGGCCTGCCTAGCAACGCCTCCAGCCCTTCTTCATCTTCCTCGAGTTGAAACCGCCGCCGCCGCCGCCACCGTTTTCCCTCTGCCAGTCCGCCTTGAACCTGCCGGCGTAGTAGCCATCAAGGACCACCCTGATGAACGCAGTGGTAACCGTCGAGCCCTTCCTCTGCCCTTTAAAAAGGAGCCCCACGCGCAGCCGAGCTGTCCCCTTCCCAGAAACCGTAGCAGCGCCGTCGCCCTTGCAATCCCTGCCACCGGAGCTCGATCGTCGTCGTTACCTTGTCCAGGAAATTCGCCAGGTTGTGTTGCGTTGGCATACATCAACACCGTCGTTTTTCCTTTAGTTTTGAGCTTGCTTGAGCTCACCGGAGTTCTTCTCTCTTTGTAGATCACCGCCGCCTACAAACATCCGCGCGTCGGTGAGCCTTCCGTCGATGTGAACCTCCTCGTTGAGTTTCTGATCAATCACACTCCCAGGCTGAGGCTGCAGGAACTGAAATTCCTGCCTCGCCACATCACAAACAAGAATGCCAAATGCCATTTCACAACCCAGAATCACATCATCAACAGCACCTGAGTCTTGTATACCTAACTAAATTCCCAGAAAATCCACCCTGAATCACATTATCAACCAGTGCCTGAGACTTATACCTAACTACCAAATACCCAGAAAATCGTGCCGCGAAATTTGCAGGTTTCAACATCAGGCCCATAAATGGCTCGACTTCATTCACCAATATCTTCACCGCGTCGAGATCTTGCTCGCGAGCGCTGTGCGTACGGCTTTGAGCTCACCGAGGATCATCTTGGCGTTCGATTTGGTGGGGTTTGGTGGGGTTCCAGGGTGAACGAGCTCACGCCTCAGCCGTCGACCGAATCAACCTCGGCATGGACCTATGGGACCTCACGATCGACATTGCAAGAGTGAAGAATAGAGATCAACCCGCCGTGGGGGGTACGATTCCGGGTCAAGACGAAGGAGACGAGAGCGATGCGGGGGAATCGAATGGGTCTGATACATCAATTTTGTTAGCAGCTCGATAGAATTGGGAATTTGGGAAGGATAGCAAGCAAGGGGATCAGACAAGACGAGGTATGCTATATTAGTTCATAGCTATTGGCTCCGTTCGCTTCGCTGAAAAAACAAGTCGAAATCACTGTTCCGGCTGATTTGTTGTGAGAGAAAAATATCGTTCCGGTTAAAAAAATAAGCTAAAAAAGACGGATTATAAGAGAAGCGAATAGAGCCATTACATACTTATAGGGTCTGTTTGGTTGCCTATATAACCTCTTATCTAGGCCCCCACAATGCAATTTGGTCCCGTTTGGTTACTTACGTAAGCTCATATGCAGGCTAACACTATCCTCGAAGCAAGCCCAACCTACATCCCACTATTTGACTAAATCCTGTGTATCCAGCTATGCACCATTTCTCCTGCACCCGCTTTGCAGCCCAAGATACAGTCTAGCCACTTATGCAGGAAACCAATCACACACATAACACTGTACGACTTCCTATCCATGAACACCAAATTACATTGCCATTGCCTCGTCCAGGTTAAGGGTATGCTGCATAATCTCTAATTGAATACAATACTAATGCAATTAACCAATCAAACCCATAGGAAAGACACCACGCTGCGCAAAGCACGACGTCGAGTCCACTTGTTCTGCCAGTCCGGGCTGAAGACGCGTGGGTTCAAGGCCCTGAGCCTGCGCGGCCTTTCTTCCTGTAGGCCATCTTGCCATGCGCCTGTTGTCGGACGATTGTCAGGCATAGGCGATGCTGAGCCTGACGCTGGTGCTGCTGTAGTGGTAGTAATAACACCACCTTGAATCACATTATCAACCAGTGCCTGAGACTAATTACCAAATACCCAAAAAATCGTGCCACGAAAATTGCAGGTTTCAACATCAGCCCATAAATGGTTCAACTTCAATCACCAATATCTTCCTAGGCAACAAAGTTGCAAATGTATGTAGTCTACGGTCGATTTCAATCACCAATATCCTAGGCAACTAAGTTGCAAATGCATGTAGTCTACGGTTTCAAAAAGAGACGGCTGATGAAATGGCATGGCGTTCTAGCGGACCTCGGTGTCAAACTTGAGGCAGATGCCCATGCTGAAGAGCTCCTGGTACAGCAGCTTGGAGCCGTAGGGCACGTTGACGCGGACGATGCGCTCTGCGGAGCGGCAGAACATGCAGTAGGGGCCGCGCACCTTCTTGCTGCCGCCCTCAGCGGGCCTCATGATCACGTTGGCCACCCGCTCGCAGGCCTGGCAGATGTGCATCTGTGAGAAGTCGCTGAGCGTGAAGAGCCGCTCGTGGAGGTTGGCGGCGGCGCCGTGGGCGAGCATGCAGTCCCGCTCCATCTCCCCGAACTTGACGCCGCCGAACCGCTTCTTGTCCTCCACTGGCTGCCGCGTCACCGGGTGCACGGGCCCCGTGTTCCGGAACTTCACCTTGTCCTCCGCCATGTGGACCAGCCGCTGGTAGAAGGTCGGCCCCATGAACACCAGGGACTTCATCCGCTCGCCGGTCTGCCCATTCAGGACGCTCTCCTCACCCCACCTTGAAAACCCAGCCCTGCAAAGCAAACCCACAAGGTATAGAAACATGAGAAAAAGCTGTGCCATAAGAGGCTGACCAGCCTCACATATATATGCATATTTAATAATTAGTGCATTTTCATTGATAAATACACCATGAGAATGCATTGCATGTTCCTGTAAACCTTGCAATGAGAGGGCAAAATGAGCACTTGCTAAAGCCATGACAAAGAACCTTGACATGAGATGCCATGTGCTGCAATTCAGTTACCAGTATCCTGTCTAGTTTTCCCACATGTGTGCAAGGGCGAATTAAAGTACAAATGTGAGAAAGGAATCCGTCATGTAAATAGAACTTACTTGTGCAGCTGTTCGGTGATCACGTCCACGGTTGGAGTGGTGAACGGTGTTGCATACCTGACCTTCCCACCCATGGCAATCCCCTTCCCCAGAGCAGCTTCAAGCAACTGACCAGGAGTTTGACGAGTTGGAAAACCATGTGGGTTTATGACGATGTCTGGAACTATCCCTTGGCAAGTAAATGGGAAATTCTCCTGGGAATCCAATAGGCCAACCACTCCTTTCTGTCCATGCATGCTGGCAAACTTGTCTCCGACGCATGGCGAGCGAGACTGAAACGATTATTAGATTAATCACTAGGGAGATTGACAAGTGGGCATACAGAACTTGTAGCAAGCAAGACAAGTAAGAGAATAAGCATTGTTATGAAATGGTGCAGATTAGAAAACTAAATGTTCTATATATCATTGATTGACACCTGAGGTGATATCAGAGCACTAAATAATCAAGACAAATGTAGATCATCTATCATTTCCTAAATCATAAGGAGAACAGACATACACAAGATGAGCAAAACATAGAACCTTTCTTAGTTATTCCTTAGACAAGAAAGCAAACCAGCCAAATAGCTGAGAATAATGCCATGCCCTACTGTACTATGTAAGGAGAATGCCACTGCATGCAAGCATGGGCCACGAAAAACAATGCAGAATAATTTTGAAAAGATTTATTACTCACCTGTCTTAGAGTAACAGTTGCAAAGTTCACCCCATCATCATTCGCTGAAAGAACTACCTTGTCCACCATCCCTTGCTCAGTATGCATCAGTTTGGCACTATGATCTTCACCAGACTCAGAGACCTTTCCAATGACAATGTCACCACTTTGAAGACTTGCTCCAACATATGGTAAACCCTCACATTCCAGACTGTCAACCTTCCCTCTCTTGCTTTGCACTTTACCAAAATTGATACTTTCCCTGTGTTTGAGACGCCTTGTGATCTCTTTGTTTTCGACCTGTGCTTTATAGCTCTTGAAATGTAGTGTACGAAACATGCCACGCTCTAAAGAGGCCCTATTCAGCACCAGAGAATCTTCTTGGTTGAATCCCTGATGAACGTTGACTGAGACTATTGCATTTTGGCCATTGAAATATTCTGGTGTATTAAAGTCATCTTTTTGTCCAAAGCTGTAGGCTGTCTCTGCCTTTCCAAGACCATAGGACACCACAGTTTTAAACAAGGGTCTTTGTGGATAGAAGATTTGATGTGAAAGGGTGTCGAGTCTAGTGTGAGAATTTGTGGGAGAGTAGCCAATAGCCTGCTGGGATATCTTTTGAGCTTGCATCAGAACCCTCCTAGCGTTATCATGGTTGGCAAAGGGAATGAGACTGCAACTCAACCCTAGCAAGAAAGAAGGATCAAGTTCACAATGAGTATAGCCAGAAGACCCGTCTTCTTTCTCCCCTGCGAATAGATGTCTAATTCCAGATGCACATCGGATGCCCTCCTCTTCTTCAACACCAATCAACTCAACTATGTTTTGATCCATAAGTTCCTGAAAAGAGTATAGTCCATCTTTTGGTCTTGTGATTCTTCTCAGATTTTCAACTACAAGAAGTGGTCTTAGAATTCTGCCTGGATCAGAAAATACACGAACTTCTTTATGGTGCTTGTCCATTTTGATTTCAACCTAATCAAATTAAAAATAGGAAAAATAACAGTATTACTACCAGCTTGTTGCAACATATGTACTTAAGTATTCCACTGAAGCAGAAATAGTACATGTAACAAAACAATCATATTCCACCTTGTGGCAAAAATATATATTGAATATTCCTAAACATACACCAAATGCATAAGGAAATAAAGCAAGTTCAGTTCAGAATTCCATTAGCATGAAATTTTAGATCCACCAGGTAAAGTTTTTTTTTTCTTTTTGAGATTATGAAAAGGAATACTAGTTTTTTTATGGAACGAATTAAAGGAAAACTAGTAATGAGCAAGAGAAGACTAGAATGGTATCGACTCATCACAAGATAATTAAAGTGAGTCCGATGTTAAAGGTTGGTGGGTAATTGCTATGAAAATTTTTAAACCAGTAGATACATGAGCACAGCTATACTGAAGAAACAACTTTTAGTAATCAAGAACTTATTAAGCAGCAAGATCTATCACGATATCATGAAGGCATCAGGACTCATGATGGTACAAGGTAAAATATATCCAAAATATTGAAAGTATGAATAATGGTTTATTAGAGTTTTCAAAGACCACGAACGGTAGTAAGACACTATCCTGGATCTGAAAACTGAGGTTCATGACAATGGAGTGTTAGTTTGACAGATACGGAAACTGAGCAAACCTGAGGATCAATTAGCTTGCTACGCCTCAAGCTTCTTAAACGCGAAGTCAATTCGTGTGGGTCTGCACATACTCCAAGCAAGTCTCCATTCAAGAAGATCCTGAATTTCCCAGAAATATCTTGCAGAGAAATATCATTCAGTTTCTTCATTCCACAAGAAACAAATGTATCAATCAACGGTTTCCTCACTACAGAGCTAACCACAGCAGTCACAGCAAGGTTTTTCACAAATCCACATTTTTCACCATCAGTGGTGGACAAAAAACATAATTTTCCCCAGTAGGATGGATTCCTGCAAAAGGAAAGTCAGTTTGCACATGGATATTGGAAAAGGAAGAGAGTAGGCATGCATCATTTTTTTTGGTAGAAAGGAACAGGGAACTTACGGGTATCTTGCATCTCCAACCGTTCCAGAATACGCAAACCACTGTCGCGTCTTCCTCAGATCAGACATCATTTGAAGTGGATTTGTTCTCCTAAGGGTTGCTACAACCCCTGAACACCTTTCTTTTTTAAAAGGATGCTGCCAAGAACCAGTGGAGAAGGCTCGGTTCAATCCATTGGTAATAATTGATGCATCCACATAACGCCTAAGGTCTTGCAAGCTGCCATCATTGCTCAAATCTCTCTGCATGAGCTTAACCATGCGTCTTTCTGCTCTCTTAATATGAGTCCAGAGTTCTCTCCGAAGCAATTGGCAGGCAAGATCTAGCCTCTTATTACGGAAATCATCCTTATTATCACATTTTCGATTGCCAGAGTATGCCATTAGCAGACATTTGACCATGTAACCCAAGAAAAGTGCCTTGCTCCTGAACCCATTGACACTAGGAAACATATACCTACAAATATACTGATCAAAGGATTCTTTGGGTGGAAACTTTGATTTTCTGATCAGCTCATCAACATATTGACGGGCTCTACCTGGAGTGCGGAAGCCTTCATATTCTTCATGAGATTCTTTAATAGTTGATGATATTATGTTGACTATGGAAGCATCACAGTCTAGGATATCAATCATATCAAAAGCTTCCTTGTCTGACGATACACCAAGTGCAAAAAATACTACCCAAATTGGCATAATCGTACCCATGAAGTAAATGTTTATGACTTTGCAGATTTCATTGCGTTTGGACGGAACAAGTTTTATATCGATCTTTTCTCGTCTGATTTGAGACGTGTAACTTGCATTCCAGCTAGGGCGGTCTGTGACCCAAATCCTTGATAAAAACCTTTGCTCTTCAGCAATGAATACCTACAGAATTTAAAGCAATCATAATGAGATGTCCTTCACCCAGACATGGTGTCAAACATGTTCAATATCAAAAAGGTAAAACTTTCTTAACTTCAGTGATAATTTGTTAACTGCAGAATTTCTTGACAACGTTACAGAACAATTTCCATGCATATTTATGAAGCACCATCGTCCTACTATACAAATATTTGATTTGAACTTTGACCACATGCATATAGTACTTATCACAGCACTTGCCAAGCTAAAATTTGTAAACTCCATTTGAGTTAACCTGAAATTTCACAAAACATATGTATGGCAGTGCCAGGATAGTCTCCCTCATCTATCTATCCCTCCCTTAAGTATTGGGCAAGGTAAGTAACACAGTAATACTTCCCTCATGGCTAGGTACCCTCAAGCCTAGAAGTGAGCTGCAGTCGCCCTTTGTGAAACTTGCGATAGCCAGGTCTCAACTCAAAACCTTTGTCTCAACTCAAAACCTTTGTCTCTGACAACATATTGAGTTTCATGCACTAATTAGTTTTTTTTATCAACACGCACTAATTAGTTTGCCAAAGGCCAAAGCTTAAACTATTGAGAAAGGTGGGCAATATAGTAAGCATGTAGGGCAATTGCATAGCAGTGCCATATAGAGTCGTTGCATATATTTGAACCATAAAACTCACCCTCTCCAAAAAAAAAACCTAATTTGTTCTAACTAATATCTTATATTACACGCCCCACTTGATACATAATATATTTACAGCACCATCAAAATCTATAAGAATGCACAATGCAATGATCTTTGTGAAATACATTTGCTGAGAATTGAATGAGCAGGCATGGATCATGTCAGGCAGTACCTTTTCTGTTCCTTTGATCACAAAGTAGCCACCAAAATCAAACTGGCAATCACTTTCTTGAAGTTTATGCAGCCAGCACAAATTTGACTTCACCATCACAGGTAACAATCCCATGCTGACTTGTTTAGTTTCTGTCATTATATCTCTTCTATGAACATGTGTATCCTTACCAGTTTTGGCTTTGTCACTTTTGTCGAGTATATAAACCTGATAAAGCCAAAACACTAGTTGATCAGATGGTAAAATATCAGTAGAAATCTTATTGATACAAAGATCAAGGTTATAACTTGATTACAGATGCCAGAGTAATTTTAAATCACATCTGCTGCTCAATATACAGGGAGAAGGCAATTCTACAAGCAGAATGCCAAGGCACAGTGCAATAGCTACATTCAAAGACTACATGAGTTTTGAAGGCTGAGTAAGGGGGAAAACATAAGCGACATCATTATGGCTATTGCGCCTTGAAAAGCAAAGTTAAAAATGAACTCGAGAAGGAGCTTAATCTCACTAACTTCCATGTCATTTGTGAAATATAAGAAAAGACTGAAATGGTCATATTAACATCCATACTAGTTAAGAGAATAAGAAAGCTTTTCTGGAATATCTGAAACATTTTTTTATTTTTTCCATTTATATTATATATAGTTTAGTCTTTCTTAACAGGTACAATATATTTTACCCCTACTGTTTACTTGATATGTAACATGAATTAGGACATCCTGACCTGAACAGTCATTTCTACATTCATCGTGGACGCATATGTCATCTTCTGGAGGCGAGCATGTCTAGGCTTAAATTTGAGATCTTGCTGTTCAAGATCAGAGTTGTCAACCATAAACACTGGCTCACCAAGCTTAACCCTACCAAATTTAACAGTTGCATGTTTCCAAGCACCATCTTTATTTGAAGGGTCATAATCAGGCTCCACAGTGATTTCCCCAAAAGAATCAAAGAGCTCTTGGAGTCCATGGGAGACAAAATGATTGTATGAGTTTATCTGATGGCTAACCAGTCCAGTTTCACTGAAAAATGATCTTGATGCTTCTTTGCAAAACTTCTCGAGGCTTGCAACATCGAAATCAACTGGTACATGTGAGGGTAGATCTGAAGAAGCCTTTCCTTTCCCTTCATCTTCCTCAGGCAGTATTTCTTTCAAATCCACATCCATAGCATTCTGCTTTTCATGCCCTTCATCTTCCACAGATGTTATACATGTCAAATCCAAATCCATAGTAGACTGCAGTTCATCAACTTTGCCAGAAGGCTGCCGCTCCCCTTTTGCACGCTCCTTGTGGGGATCTTCAACATCTCCATAGCCATCCAAATTCAGGCAATCCATCATATCAGTATCTGAGATAACAGGTGACTGATCGCCATCCATTTGTGGTTCCCCCATTGCTAAACAACAGGCAGCTGGCACTCGGTGTCAACAAAATCCCTGCCTTTAGAACATGGAAACAACAGCAAAGTCATCATGGAAATGCACAATTTTGAAACCAGAAGATCAGAAAGCAGAACATGTGCATCCACATGGCATTCAGCAACAAACACTGAAATCACACACAATTTGTGTAACAACAACAACTTTTCAATTTCTTAACCAAAAGATAAATCAGTATAAGATGTGCACCCAGGGCTCCACGTAGCATTCCACAAAAAGAACAGCAATCAGATAATTTATCAGGCAAATGCACGCACAAAGATGCCGCCTTTTAAAAAATTGACACATCTGACATCCATTTCACTGAATTCTACCTAAATGGAGCACCTTACAGGCATAGCAGTACCAATCACGCCAAAAGAAAAAAAAAAGATTTTCAACAAAATCCACCATTTCACTCCAACTGTCTCCCTCTCTGGTCCTTTTCTAATGGCGATTTGGGCAGGCAGGCCCACCACACCATCACGTATGGCAAGTTCGCAACCTTGCATCATCTTGGGATTTAGAAATCAGAAGAGGGCTCGCCACCACCACGCGTCCCGATCAACGATCACGGGGCACCACCAAAAAACCCCCCCACAATTCAGCACCGCACTAGCAGCACAAAAACCCCACCCCGGCCATGAGACGCACACAGATAACAAGAACAGGGGCGGGGTGCCGACCTGAGGCCACGTCACTGCTCGAAGCGCCAAAACCACGCGTTGCCGGCGGCGAGGGGGCACGGGCTCCAAAGCCCTCGCCGCCGAACGAAACAAAGAAACGAAAAAAAAGCCTTTTTTTTCCGAGAGAGACGCGTGCACCAGTCCAGGCCCAGGAGCAGAGGAAACGCCGCATTGCGCCACGCGCCGCGGCAGGCGGCTGGCGCGAGATGGCCGTGGCAACGAGGCGCGGAAACGGGCGGAGGGCGGAGAGGCGTACCTTGCGCGCCCGCGATCGCCGGCGGCGAGGTGAGGAGAAACCCTACGGCGCGCCGGCGACGGCGCCGGTTGGGGTTTTCCGCGCTGCGTTTCTTGCGACCGAGGAGAGGACAGAGGAGAGGAGAGGAGAGTGCGAGTCGACAGTCGAGTGTGCTTTTGCTGTGCTTTATGGTACTGCAGGAACGTAGGAGCCTAGGTGGAGGATCAGCACACTGGACGGCAGCACGGAGGCCCGCGCTGTGGCTTTCCCTCTCTCTGCCTCGCCGTGGCCGGGGGGGGGGGGGTGGCGCGCGTGGCCCGTGGGTTCCTCCGTTTCGCCAATCGCAACTTGCCCCCTGGTGCTTCGGCAAACTTTGCGGCTCTCTGTTCTCTCCTGTTCCGCCGGGCCTTTCTCTTTAGCTGGGTCCCATCGGTCAGTGTGTCTTTCACTGGCGCCGCCCTCCGTCCTCTGATTTGCATCCGACGGAGCCATTCGTCTTACGAATACGAAAGGCTTGGCGATGGGGATTAGGGGCAGTATTGTCATAAACTGTAAACAGACGGTCAGTTGTTGTTTAGCCATTATTTGGTCTACTAAATGGCCACTTAAACAGTCATTTAAACGGGCTAAACTCTCATTTAAACGGAAACGATATAGCACTGTGTATCGTTTAAATGGCGTATAAACTGGCTAAACGACCATTTAGGCGAACAATATCCAGGTGTGGTGAAAAGAAGAGGGTTTAAGGGGTGTGATGAGATGTGATGTATAGAAGATCATGTGATGGTGGTGAAAAGTTTTGGGCGTGGCATATTAGTAGCTCCTAAACGCGTAATGGAACACAAGCCTCCCAAGGCCTCCACGTCGCTCTGGCCCACACACGCATGCCGCATGGGCGGTAGGTGCCAAGTGTTCCGTTCCTGTTAGCGCGGGTTGCCGTTCGGTTCTTTTGGTAGGTGGCTGTGACTTATACGAATAAAAATGTTAGGTGTTATTTGGCTGCACTCTAACATGGCCTAGTCCACACCGTTATTTGACTTATACTATGGTTAAGGTAGATTACAGTGCGGTCAAATAACAACCTACGTCTTGTTTTGCAAATATTAAGGCTATATGGTTTTGGTTCTACTAGAGAGGAGGTGAGAAACGCTATGGACTAGGCCATGTGAGTTTTACTCTTCACTTTATTTATTTACTTTGAGGTGGCAATGAGAAGGCATGCCCGCAAAAAAAAACTTAGTAAAGCGTGGCATACCGAAGATACTTGATACTTGCAGTCCTGCTTGATTTTGAGCATTCATGAGATGGACTAGGGCTAGCATGGCCACACGTTCTTTTCTTTCATGTTATTACTCATGGTTTTCTATCTATATATTTATGAATTATTAAGACTTCGGTGCATTGACATGTAGTTATTTTCTCTTTAATGCACATATTATTATTAGGGATTTCTTACCACGACCAAATCTTTTACTTAGAATGCAAGATGCAAGCGGCAACTCATTACGTTTGGCATGAATGCTCTAGAAGATCATAACTATCTCATTCGTTTATATGGGCTTTATTAGTATTTTAATTAGAAAAGTTAAATTCTCATAAAATTTTCCCAACAATTAGTTAGATTATATTATTATATAAAAAATGTTTCTATATACTAGGTCGAGCGTGATTGATTATTGACTTTCTTAGAGCTTTAGATCCTATTTTAGCACTTGATTATCGGAGATTCTAACAATTGAATGAAGACCCACCTATCCTCCTTCCTAAGGGCTTGTTTGGTTACCTCGGAATAGACACCTGGAACGATTCCTAGCCGGAACAATTGTTTAATTTGTACAACATTGATCAACAGGAATAATTTCTGGTCTCATTCCGCACTAACCGAACAGGCCCTAAGGAGGATCCAAACGAGTTTAATGACAACAATTCTATATATATTAGTCTTATCCATACTCATGGGAAACATTTTCCAAGGCACAGATCCTAGCCAAGGTAGCGATTTCTGTTGATATGTTTCATGTAGTCCTGGCCTGAAACTCCGGATCACTCACTTCCCTGCAGCCTGCAGGTTCCGGACACAGGGCCTGCTTGGACGGAGGCCGCACTCTGCCAAGCCACACGTTCGCCACCGCCACACTTGTGGCGTAAAAAAACAGCGCCACAGTTAGGCGAGCCACAGCGCAAAAGTGAACTGGGTTTCCGTGTGGCTGCCACGTCCTAGGTATGAACCAAGCAGTAGCCAATTATTGTGGCGCCGCCGCGGTTAGGCGTGGCTGGTTGTGGCGTGCAACCAAGCACGCCCGTAATTCCCTTGATTCTGCCCCGAAGGAAGTTGCGGGGGTACTCTGGATTACGTACTGTAGTGGCTAGTGTTGTGTGGGAAAATTTGGCTTGCTTTTGTGTGGTTGTATTGGCAATTTGGCATCGCTGGAGCAGATGTCCACGTGGCTTGGCACCGGTGCTTTTCTTGGTGCAAGTGTGATTGATGGAAGTGGCCAACCAGGTACGCTGCACGCAGCACAGATTCTAGGGGCGTGTTTGGTTCTGCCCGGTCCGGCCGAGTGGCCAGCCTAAGCTCGGCTCAAACGGTGCAGCGTCGCTTGTTTGATCTCCCGTTCCTTCTGAGCCAGGTCTAGTTGGGATCATGTTTGATGTGTGTGTACAGATGGATACGGTGACCTTGCATCTGGGATAAGGTGATGTTACCGAGCACGAGCACGAGCTGCGGGTCACTGAGCACGAGCGCATCATCACCATGGACGCGCCCAGAAGCATGGACGCCACCCCGACGGGCGTCACCTGCCGCGGCAGCAGCGGCCGCGCCACCGCCCCGACGTCCGGCGACGCCCAGAGGACGGTGAGGAGGAGCTCGCAGAGCTCGTAGAGCAGCCACTACTGGTGCACGTCCTCCATGAACGCCATGGCTGAGTCCGTCTCCATGAGTAGCCGCGACTGGTGCGCTTCCTCCTCTCCGACGAGTCCCTTCTCCACGCCATGGCTGAGTCCGTCTCCATGAACGCCACTGCCATGGCGATTGAAACTTATCAGGGGCCGTTGGCTGCGAGGAGAAGGACGACCAGCTTGGCTGCAGCGGCGGCGGTCTTGGCATCGGCGATGAAGGCGAAGGGCGACCCAGGCACGCGGCGTTGGGAACACGAAGGGCGGCGGCGTTGGGAGGAGGGGACGAGCAGGGGAGCGGATCGGAGCAGGACGCCGGGGAGGGGGACGGGGCGCCGCGCTGCGCCGGCCCTACTATCTTCAAGCAGGAGGGGGAGGAGAGCGCGGTGGAGAAGAGCGGAAGGTGAGGGAAGGGAGAAGGAGGTAACCGTATCGGCCAAGGACCACACGGAGCGCTCGAGGGAGCCGGCCTGTGAAAAAACGAAGTGAGGTTTCGTTTTTCTGGAGCCTGGCCTAAGCTGCTTTAGATCTCGTGCGGGCTAGACTCCGAGGTTGGGCCAGGTGCACCAAACACGGCAGTTGCAGCCGGTAGAGTGCAGCCGGGCCGTCGGGCCACGTTATCAAACAGGCCCTGAGAAGCAAGTTCTCTGCTCGGAGGATTTCCCGGTCCGATGCACAAGATCTGTCTAAGCTATACAAGTACCACAGTACGACAGCATTGCTCCACTGTCCTCATACAAGTACTGTGTTTTTACAGGCAATCTTGATGATGGATTGGTTGCACAACAAACGAATGAAGTAGAATTTGTTGCAAAAAGGTGGCATGGCATCGCGAGCTACTCTAGCTACTACCCCGAGAGCAATATCAGCATACAATGCGGAACCATCTCTGTTTTCTGTTTGGTAGAACGGTACGAGGGTTAAAAAGTATGGAATGGATTGAGCTTCTCCCACCGTCAGGCCATGACTAATGCATGCATATAGTAATAGTGGTTTTATCTAAATGTATTAGGTTTACATAGAAATGAAAACTACTATCCATCCATCCTAAGAGCATCTCCAACAGATTGGGTAAAACAATCTCCTTTCTTAAAAGCTGAAAAAACTTGCTCCACCATATCCTCTTTCTCGATCTTCTTTCCTATATTTGTTCTCAA